GGGGTCAGAAACCCTCTGGAACTGCGTTTCCCCCACGGAAGGTCTCGTGGATGCCGGAGAAACCCGAACAGAATTCGGGGACACGAGTCCCTGCTGTGGAAATGCCACTTTGCTGCGCTGATTCCTGTCAGTAGCCGGGGAAATGCTCGTCAGGAGATGGAATATTTGCCAGTGTGGGATGCGGGGCCGTCAGCCCCGTCTGGCACCCGCCATATGGGGCTGCTGGCACCCGTGGGGGTGGGGGTGGGGGGCTGCAGGAGGAGGGCCCAGGCTGAGGTGTGAGCTGCAAACAGGACAGCACAAAAGCCTGGTTAATTCTGGGAGTGCACAGTTAATTGCCACCTTACTGGAGAGGGAGTTTTAATTTTTATTTTTTTTTTTTTTAATCCAGATCCTCCAGAGAAACTCGTGGTGGGATCCACCCCTGGGGCACTGGGAGGAGGAGAAGCCCAAAAATCTCCCTGTGGGTTATAAAATAGGGACACACCAGCAGCAGGTGCTCTGGAAGGGTGGAGGGAATGGGACACGTCTCATCTTTGGGATTGGTTTCCACTATCCCAGGTTGCTCCAACTTGGCCTTGGACACTCGCAGGGCTGGGGCAGCCACAGCTTCTCTGGGCACTCTCTGCCAGGGCCTCATGACAGGAACCAGCTAAAACCAGGAGGAATTCAGTCCCAGATCACTCCAGGTGACATTCCCTGCTGGGCAAGTCTCTGAAGCTCTTGTGTCTCTCTCGGGGATGGACCTGGGGCTGGCTGGAGGGTGGATTTCATCCTCTGTGAATCCCTGGAGACATTTTCCAGTAGGATATTAAACCACCTCCCTGTCGTTCCCAGAGCAGGAGCTGCATTGTCAGAGCTGCACTCAGCAAAGAGCATTTGCAATTTCCAGAGAGCACAAAAAAAGGGAGCGTGGAAAATAGAATTGTGCAAAAAGCCCATTCACAAAGCTGTTTATCTTCCTTTTTTCCCCCTCTTTTCCTCCTTCCCCAAACCTTAAAAGGTGCAGCTCAACAGCTGACACTGATCCTAATCATCTCATTAAATGCTGAAGGAATTCAAAGTACAGCACGTCCTGCATATCAAGAGGGAAGAAATACAATATTCCCCAGATTTTGGGCTGTGCACTGTCAGCTCTGCAGATCCCTCTGGGACTGGGGAGACCTTGGTTTGGGGAAGATCAGGGAGATCTTTGGGGGAGATGCTGGGGATTGACTTCCAGCCATCGAGTTTGCTCTGCTTTGGAATTATCCAGGGTGAAAGAGCCACTGGCAGCACAAATCAGGGAGGGAGACCCCCAACAAGCACTGCTCAATTCCCTGGATGTTGCTGCCTGCCTGGGTTTGCCACCCAAGACTCACCAGCGGCCTGGGATTTGCCCTTTCCTGGACAGGTGTTTTTTTTCAATCGAGGGGAGAGTCAGAACTCTGCCTTGAAAGGGGTGAAAAGACAGAGGGACGAGTGACCTCGTGGAGTAGTTCATTTACATTCTTCCTTGCCTGGGTTCCTTGATGTGATTCCCACGTGGTTCCACACACAGGCAGCTCCACTGGCTGGTTTTGCATCAAGCAAAACCCCAAAGCCAGTGGCAATTCCTTTATTTCCCGCAAAGGAGGTTCCACTCCCCAAGTGGCCCTTTTTGGGTGGCAAAGGCAGATCTGCCATGGCACTTCCAGCCCCCCGAGCCGGCAGGAAGGGATCAGCTCCCCCCGTTTAACTGAAAGAAAAAAAAAAAGGGGGCACAAAATATATAAAATCTCACAAGATTAGGCAAAGGAAGGATGCTGAGGAGCTGTGCAGTGTGAGCTGGCAGAGAGGACACACAGCTTCGCCCTGTCCAGCTGCTGCTGTTTGGACCTCGCCACGAAAATTAAACCCAGCCTGGGATGTCGCTCTGCCTGGAGCCTCTTCCCAACACTTTGGGAAATGCCATTCCCAGCTTCCCACCCGGGCAGACCGTCGGGCAGGGTGGGGAATCAGCCGGAGCTGCCCAACCCGTGCGGGCCAAAGTCTGCAGCCCTTTAAGCGCGGATCGCTCCCCGCCCTGTAAGTGGTTTCTGTTTGTTTTAACACTTTCCCCTTCTATCTCCTGCGTTTTATGCGCGGCTTTAAATCTGTGTTGGTGAATAGGTCCTTACTGGAGTCATTAAGTTCCATTCAGCTCATCCAAAGGCAATCCATTAGCTTTATTTGTTGCCTGGTTCCCTTATCTGCCCCCGATGTTATCTGCCTGTTCCTGTTGTAAAAGGAAAGTTTCCTTATGGAGAGAGGAAGAAAGCAGATTGCCCGAGGCAGAGGTGCCTGTTGTTCTTACCCTGACCTTCCCGAAAGCCAGGAGGGCTGGAACCTCACCAAAACAACCTAAATAATAATAATAATAATAATAATAATAATAATAATAATAATAATAATAATAATAATAATAATAATAATAAAAAGAGGCTGAAAGAAGATGGGAATGTGGGATCTGCTGGATGCTCTCACCGAAAAAAAAAAATAAATAAAGGGAGAATCAGTGACCCAAAGGGGTGAGCACAACAAGCAGAGCGGGCAGGGGAGGTTTAGGTTGGATATTATGGAAATTTCCACACCCGAAGGGTTGTCCAGCCCTGGGCAGAGGGGGAGTCATCACCTTGGAGGGGTTTAAAAACCTTCTAGTTCAAGTGTTTTTTTCCTCACGTTGAGCATAAATCTCTCCCTGCCCTCACTCAGTGAACGGGGGCAGGTCCTTTGTTTGCTCTCCCATCCATCACCTTTTTGGAACAGGGGCAGGTTTGCTGTCCCAGCTCCTCCTCGGGAGGGGCTCTGATGCCAAAGAGAGGGGGTGAAGGGAGTTTATCTCCTCCCCACTGCCAAGGTTTGGACCAGGAATTGCAGCTTTTGCAGCTCTGAAGTCAGGAAGCTGAAGGGATGTTGCCTTAAAGGCTCCTGTTCTCCATTTCCATCTCCCCCATCTCTGGCCCTTTCCCAAGGCCAGGGGGGGTTATTTTGGCAATTAAACCAATTTTAAAAATTTAGTTTATGGGGGTCTCGTGCTGGGGGCTTCAACTTCCACGAGATCTGGGGTGAGAGGGACCCTCGGGAGGGTTTAAATTGCTTAATCAAATGTCCCAGGGAATTCTGGCAGCTGAGGCAGCTTTGTCCTTTCAGTGTAATTCTGGATTTGGGAAGAGCTTCTGACAGATCCCTCCTGGTTCAGTTCGAAGCACCAAATGCAAAATGCCAATTTAGGGAATCAATTGGGAAAATAAATACAAATTAAGTTTGTTTGTTTGGGGTTTTTTCCCTTTTCGTTTTAATTTGAGCACTTAAACTCCTACTTTCATCTCTTCAAAATAATAATAATTTTAAAAAGAACATTAAAAGCTTTTCCAAAGTTCAGCTTCCAATCTACATATTGATGGGGAAAAAAAAAAAAAGAAAAAAAAGTATTTAAATTCTGCTCTTATAAGAAAGAGCCTGGCAGGCTGCCCGTGTGGGGATGAGAGATCTCAAATATTTGTGCTTTGGATTGGATTCATTAAGCTCCTCTAACCAGAGGTGTTTTTCCCAGCCCCTGAAGTTGGAAAAACCTCATGATGCCTTCAAAAGGTGGGATTAGGAATATCTTTGTACATTAAGCTTTTCAGATATTTCAATTTTTCTCCCGGGTTGAGATTTCTTTTTTTTTTTTTTTTTAATGTTAGAAATTACTAATTTGAATAATGCAGGCAAACCAATAACCTTTTTGATGATTCGAAAGGTCATTCTGCAACCTGCAAACAGCGTGGCTTTAGCGATTTACCTGCTGATGGCACGAGGGTCAGGAGGGTTTAAATGTGTCCTGTGCCTTCAATAATCAAAATATCTCTCCCTGTGTGTTCTGGAGATCTGGATAAAGGGGGAGAGAGGGTTGGATTTTTTGCTTTCTTCTTAGGAGAAAGTAATTTTTCCAGAGTCAGTGTGGATCAACACAAGCCAAAGAGGGGAAGGAGAAGGTGTGAAACGAATTTATCTCCTCCCCTTTGCCAAAGTTTGGACCAGTAATTGCAAATTTTGCAGCTTTGAAGTCAGAGAACTAAAGGCATTCTGCTTTTTTTGGGTTTGTTTTGTTTTTGTTTTTTTTATCCCTAGCAATACTTCCAGCTGGATCAGGTTGATTGTTTGTTTGTTTGTTTTTTCCTTTTTAATGATAGATGTTTCTTGGCCTGCAGAGGAGAGGAGCTGGGGGGCAGTTTAATTTCTGGAGTCCTTCGGTGTTAAAGTCGCTCAAACTGCCTGCACAGATTATTCCATGTTCATTCTGGTGCTGTGGAAAGGTTTTTTTTTGGGGGGAGAAATCAAGCAAAGGCAGGTCCTCAAAGCAATACCTTTATTTCAGCTACTTTTCCAACAGCTGTGGGAAGGAGTTTGCCTGGCAAGGGCTTTTCCTGGATCTTTCATGCAAACAGTTCAGGAGGAGAAACTGAGCCAGTGGGAAAGGAGGAATGGGACAAAAAGGTGATTTTTGCTGCATTTACTTTTCTGCTCTTCTATCAATATTTTTTTTAGGAAAAACAAAAGAACCCAAATCTCCTAAAATATCAAGTATCACTGATTTTTTTTTTTTTTCATAAAAGGCCCCTTTTCTTCCCAGTTTTCCTCTCCATTCCCCAGAAATGATGGTACCATAAGATGGCAATTTTCCAGACATGGAATTCCAGCTTGGCAAATCCCAAACATCCCACCATTTTCAGATGGGAAACACCCATTCCCAGGATGTTCTTCTGAGGAATATTGGTATTAGTACAGAGGGGGCAGCTGTGGCTCTTACAGCTCTGTGCCCCTGGAAAAGCTTTCCCAGGTGGAAACACCATCATTTAACTCTGGAATTGTGCTCTCAGAGTGAAATATTGCACGAAATGGAACAAAGCTGTCATTTAGGGTTAATGTGCTGTGCAAAACATTGCTTATAACATTGGGGTGTCCTTGCCCACCTGAGTGGAGCATCCCTGGGGAGGGTGGGCTCTGATGAGCAATGCAAGGATTCCCAAATAGCAGGAATACTGGCATTCCTTAATTAGCACCCACATAACTGGTCCTTAGGTATAATTAAATTTTTTTTTTTCCCTCTCAGGCAGAGCAAAGGGGTTCAGTTTTTGCTGCCAGCTTGGCAAAGCCTTCGGGGGTGTTATTGGGGGTCTATTCTGGGTTACAGGGCTGGAGCTGAAGCCTTGTGGGTGCTTGTGCAGCTTTGTAGCACCTTGGAACAGCCACCTCCCTCCTCACTGGGCACGGACAGGCAACCCTGATGGACCTGTAACCCTCCCAGCTGGAACCAGAGGTGCATTCCTAAGAGGGGGAGACACTACTGCATCTACCAGAGCTTCGGGCCCGCGGCCGGAGGGAGAGCAGCTACTCCACGGCGGGCTTGACCAGGTGCCCGTTGAAGATGACGTAAACATCGGACTCCTCACTGTAAATGGCGTTTTCCCTCTCCCTCTTGAACAGCCTGAGCCAGACCTCGTCCCCCTCCTGCAGGTCCAGCATGAGGCTCTGGCTCTGCATGATGCTGCGGTCGCTGGGCTGGGCGTACAGGATGGCGGCGGGCTGCGCGTTCCTCATCAGGTGCACGTAGGTCTCCTTGAAGTTCCACGTGTGCACGTTGAGGCTGAAGTAGTAGACCCCCGGCACGTAGCAGAAGAACTTGCCCGAGAACATGTTGAAGTGCTGGTAGAGGTTGACGAACTCGGTGTCGAAGGTGACGTGCTGGAAGTAGTCGGAGCTGTGCAGGGGTTTCCTCCGGCCCACCGAGAAGGCGGCGAAGAGCTGCTTGCAGGAGTGGCCCTGGGGGCCGGGCTGCCCTTTCTGGCCCTTCCTGCCGTTCAGGCCGCGTAACCCTCTCTCTCCGGCCTTCCCAGCTGCTCCAGGGAGCCCCTTCTCTCCCATCTCGCCCTTCTCCCCTGCGAGCGGAAAGGGAAAGCTCGTGAGACGCAACGCCCGAGCTGCAGGAAGGTCCTGGCGGGAGACAGCGAGCAGAGAAGGTGCTGGGGCACTGTTTTCCCAGCACAGAAAGCTGAAAATGTTGGTCAAACATCAGCACTTTCTCATTTTTCGGTAGGATGAAGCCAGGGGAAGCTGGTGGTGCTGATGTTCCGTGTCTAACGGTGGAGCTCCATGGCCTGACCACACCAGGTACATGAACCCAGTGTCCATCTCCCACCCCCTCGGTGCAGAGATGGGAGCAACACCACTTTTTGGTTCTGCTGAGGGCCTGATTTGGGGCTGGCAGAGAGGGCTGGGTCTTGTCTGTGCTCTCAGGACTCTTGGAACACCTCCTGCATTTCACACTTCGCTTTTCCTTGTCTGCCTTGCTGAGACAAGGAATGCACCGTGCAAAAAGCCTTTTTTACACACCCCCCCCCCTCCATAGTTTTTAAACCACTTAGTAATTTAGTGAGAACATTTGAACCTGAGTTTTGGTGTGACCTAACGTGAACTTCCAGGACTTCGGGGTTCTGATGGGTTGGAGAACTTTTGCAGCTGTTTCAGGTGGACACACACTGGAAGAGTTCATGGAGGAGGGAGAAACCAGGTGGGAAGAGGCTACCATGGGGGTGGTTGGCCGTACCCACCTTTGAGGATGGTGATGTCTATGGTGGGCTGGACTCTGGGCACAGAGTAGGGGTTGCTGCTCATCCTGGTGTGCCTGGAGGAGATGATGGACACGGGCTGCTCCGAGGGGCCACAGCAGCGCACGCACGACAGGCGCCGGGGCGGGCCCTTCTCCGGCTCGGCTCCGACGCTCCCCACGGACACCAGGAGCAGCAGGAGCACCACCCTCATCTTCAGCAGGGCCAGCTGGACCAGCAAAAGGGACAGGAGTTATTAACACAGCGATTCAAATCAGAGCCATCTGTTGGGGTTACCTCGGGGTGCTTTTCCTCGGGGTTAATTATTGACGGAGCTCGGAGCGGCACCGGGAGACTCCGGGTGGGGATGGTGCCCCCACGGCCCCGCTGTTTACAAGCAGTGGAAAAGGCAACCCCTGTCCCTCATTACCTGAAATAGCTGACAAGAGACACCAGGTAAACAAGAGAAGGAAAAAAAAAAAAAAAAACACCCCAAACCAAACAAAACCCGCTGACATGGGAAGCTCCATCGCTCCAGCACTCGCTGCTTGGCTGCTCTTGGAACAGCCCCTACAAAAGCTTCTGGGTAAAAGACACACCAAAAAAAAAAAAAAAAAGCCACAAATCCTGAAAAGTTCAAACTGAAAGGGAGAATATGCAACTTTATTTAAATATAGAATTTTTTTTTTTTTTAAACCCTGAAGAAAAATGAAACCTGAAGAAACAAAAAGTATTTCTCTCTTTAGACATTCTCCTGCAGCCTCTGGCTGGGAACCCCTTCCCAGTAACCTCTTCCCAAGAAGACTCGTGGTTCTGACCGTGCCCACGTGCTCTTCCCAGCAGAATTCCTGTGTGGACTTTCCCTTTTTATTTTCCAGTGTGTGTGGAATGCAAAGCCAAATAGCTGCAAAAAAAAAAAAAAAAAAAAAAAAAAAAAAAAAAAAAAAAAAAAAAAAAAGAACCCCAAAGACCAAAGCCAAGTGGGATTTGCTCTGCACAAACACTGGTTTTTGAGATGCTCTTGTGTTGCATTTTCAGCTGCTGCTGGTGAGCTCTGAAAGCCCTGAGTGAAGTGCAGGGAGGAAACGCTGGAGATAGTGCAATGATGGGAATTTTCTCTGGCTCCCCATCCCTGGGGAGGGATTGGAGCTGGAGACAGGCAGCTGCCTCCTGCTTCCATGTGTAATTAGTGTCATCCCACTGATTGCAGTGGGGCTCCACACAGGGCAGAGTTTTTGGGTGGATGCCTTCATGGATCTTCTCCAAGGTCCAATTAGTGAGATGGACTTGCATTGACCTCAGGCTGGGAACAGCTCCTCCAGCTCCTCTTCTCCCAGCTTTAACTCCTGGAACAGAGTGGGAAGGTGGGATCTGGATGTCCTGGACTTCAGGAATTGCTCTGTGAACAAACAGGTCCCACCTGCAGAGGGAGGGAGGGAATCCTGCCCTGGAGCTGCTCAAAGGCCTCACCGGGAACAAAATGAGCCAGGTGGGAAAACAAAGAGGAAAAAAAGTGTCAATATTTTTTCTTCTCGTTCTTACCTGCCCCAAAGGGCTGTCATTCACACCTTTTATTACCTGGTGTAATGCAGCTCCCTGGAAACCCCATAAATACTCATTAGCAGCAACATAATAATGACTTTCCCTCTGCCAGCAGAGCAAGTCCTTTCATCAAATCCCTCAGAACTCGGAATATCTTCCTGCTCGTGGCTGTCCCTCATTCCAGGAGGGATCAATACTCCTTTTCTATCAGCGTTCAGGGCTCGAATTTCATTTTCATTAAGTCCTTTTTAATTTTCCACTCCCTTCTTAAGCCATCCTTGTGCTGCCAGCCAGGAACAGAAAAGCAACACCCGTTTAAAAGTCAGGAATCACCAGCCTGGGTGTGACCAGAGCAGGATGTTGGACTGCAGAGAGGATTTGGGGTTTCTAAGGGTGTCCTGGAGAGTTGTGCACAGTTCACATGACAGGAATTCAAGCGCCCACTCGAGGATTTGTGGCCACTTGCACGATTCAGGAAGAGCAACTACTCAAGTTATTATTGGCTGTAAATCGCATTTGGGGAGGGGAAAAAAAAAAAAGAAGTAAATGAGGCAACAATTCAGTCCATTCAGGGCATCCTGGAGCTGGCACCTCCACACCACCATTTCCTTGAAAATTTAGTGAAATTATGACTTTGCTGTGGCAGAAACATGAGTTTGGTTGGGGTATTTTGTGGTCAGGTGAAGACTTGATGAGGTAGGTGAGTAAACAGAGGCTCAGGTTTACAGCCTGGGCATAACAAAAAAGGACAGGAGAAGTCAAATAGGAAAGAGGTGGAAAGGAAGGAGGCTGAGAGGACTGCAAGGAAAGGATGATGAATCCTGGAATGATTTGGGCGGGAAGGGGCTTTAAAGCCCATCCAGTCCCACCCCCTGCCATGGGCAGGGACACCTTCCACCAGCCCAGGTTGCTCCAACCTGGCCTTGGACACTTCCAGGGATAAATTCAGCAGGGTGGGATTGTTTGACCGACATCCAGCACAAAAGCAGAGCACAGGGGAAGGGAAACCTCAGACCAGAGAAATTCTGGGACAGGAAAGGAAACAAGCATGGTAAGAATTTCCCTGTAACCAGATCATGTCGAGCTGGAGGAAAGAATGGTCCGAGCCAAATTTCAGAGGAGAAGCAAATATAACCCTTGTGGTGGGGAAGACAAATTGGGCAACTGAAAAAAAATGCAAAAAAAAAATGAGGTTCAGAATTTAAGTTCTGTGAGGCAAAGTGAGGGGTTGCTTTTAACAGTTTGGGGTTTTTTTTTTCACTTAAAGCCAATTATTGGGACCTTGTTTTGTCAAATATGCTGGTGAGGGATTTGCCTTGGGCTGCAGAGGTTTTTCTTCCTCAAAAGGCAGCAAAAAACAACCTGGGCTTTGTCTGCTCTGATCCCAACTCACTCCAAGGCTGTGGCTGCCCCATCCCTGGAAGTGTCCCAGGCCAGGTTGGAGCAGCCTGGGCTGGTGGGAGGTGGTCACTTGTCCCCTCCCAGCAAAATCCAAGGCTGACCAGATGATTAAATAGTGTATTTTTGCTCTGCACTGACCCTGGAAGTACCTGACTTCAGTCTAATCCATCAAGCTTTTTATTTACATATTTTTAACCTGTTATGAATTACCTACTTCCAAAGGGCTGTTTTTCCAGTGGCATTCCCAGTGTGTGCCAGCCAAAAAAGCCCAATTCCCACCAAGCAGGGCTTTAGGGATCCCCCCAAACCCTGGCTGAAGAAGGGCAGAAACCATTAGTTCTGCTTCAGGGAGTTCAGTGAGGTGATTCTTCCTTCTTGTGTGCAAGTCCTGATTTAAATACCTTTCCTGGACACTCTTTCAGCTGCAGAGAGCACCTGGATTGATTTTTTGGGGGGATGCTGATTGAGTTTAATCTCAGAGCTCAGGGTAGATGGTTTGTCTCTGAGGCACATTTGCTCATGCAAAGCTTTTTAATCTTCCCCTGTCCCTGAAGAATTTCCATGCCCTGATCTAAAGGAACACATTTGGGCAACAGAAACGAGAAGAAACCGCTGAAACAGCTGCAAGAAACACTTGAATTTGCTTTGCAGCAGAGAGAGTGAAGCAGGAAGGCAAAGCCAGTCAGCCTGGAGGCTGCATCCAGAGGTTTTCCCTGTGGTTAGTGACAGGGAATTTGCAAGTTAAATCCCAATCTTGCCTGCTCTGTTGGAACCCCAGGCAGCCCCTGTGGGATTGATTTACAGGTCGTGCCAAAGGGGTGGATCTGCCTCCATCCACCCCATCCTTTTTTTTCCCCTGGAAGTGTGTCCTTACCTTGCAGGGCAGCTGGAAGGATAAATCCCACTGAGAACTGTGCTGAGCTGTGATATCCAGAGTTCACGAGGTGGGAACTGCTCCGGGATTCATCCCTTTCAATTCCTGCCGGTATTTTCCTTCCTGGTTATTCCTAAGGCTTGACTGGGTACAAGCAATCTCTGGCTATCCTCGCTTTAAACCCCCAGACATCAGCAGCCACTGCCCCTCAGAGTTAGGGACAAATCTCGGCTCAAAAACCCACGAGGACAGTTCAGATTAAAACCCTCCTCGAGATGGAAAACACATGGACGTGTCATCACTCCAGAGATGGAAAATATTCCAGTGCTGCTGCTTTGTCTCTTCTCAAGCCTCAACCTCCTCACTGCTCCTTGGATCACCACCGGCAGGAAAAAAGGCATCCTCGGGGCCGGGGATGTCTGGACGCTGCACTTCCTCTTGGAAGTGATTTGTTTGGGAAGTTCTGACAATTTTCTCCCCTAGGAGGGTCTAAAATTTCATTACTGGGGGAAAAGAAAGCCCAGAACAGTGAAGGAGCTGGTGCTTTTCCCGAGGTGAGGCTGTGGCAGCTCAGGGGCTCCTCTGCTCCCAACACCAGGAAAGCCTCTCCAGCCCCACATCCCGGAGATGCTTCCCTGGATTTGAGCATCAGGAGCCTGTCTGCAGCCAGGGAGGGGTGTGAGAACTCCCAGACAGGGATGTTTGGATCCCAGAAAGGAGTGGTGGTTTCAGAGTTTCCACTGTGCGTGCAGTGGTTTGCAGATGAGCGAGGGCGACGCCCCGGCCCGTGGGGTTTGACAGTGCTGGGGGGTGATGAACAGGAGCCACTGGGAGGGCTGGGTTGAGCCCAGGGAGATGGGAGAGTGGCAGGAGTGGAGGCAGAGCCAGGCGTTTTAGCTGCCTCTGGATTTGTGATGGCCTGGCTGAACATTTGTCAGCGAGTTTGTAGCTGCATTTTTAATTATCTGGGTTGGGGGTTATTTTGTGGTGCTATTTTTTTTTAGCCTGTGCCTGTTTCCAGAGATGTTGAAGTGTCCAAATTCCTCTATCCCTGAGCAGCAGCAAGTGCTGTGTCCCCACTGCTCTCTCCAGCTGGGATTTCACCTGTTGCACGGGGAGAGATGGGGTTCCAAAACCTCCCTCCCCTGTTACCTGCACACCCTTAGACCTGGGGGATTGTGTGGATTTAACAGCATTCCCTGCAGGTGCTGTGGGATGGACACAGCCCCTGGATAGCTGCATATTCCCATATTCCCACCTTGCCTGCCCTGAACAGCCAGGGAGCAGAAGGATCTTTGCTGGTTGCTAAGCAAGCAGCTCTTCCCTCCCTCCTTCTCCTTGTCCCTGCTTGCACCTCTGACTCCAGGAACATGCCTGCAGTGTCCTGGAAATGTCCCTGCTCCGGGCTGGGAGGCTCCTTGGAAGCATTCCCGGTCTCCCTGGCAAGTCCAGGCGGTGATTCAGCACAGGGAACTTACAGTAAGTCATTCCCAGGGCAGCTTCTCCCACAGAGCAAAAGACACCCAGCCCTCCTTCGCC